TAACCGATAATGGGAATTACACCATATTTTTACCGTTCATTTTACAATGAGGAGAAAATTGAAAGAAAAAAATTTGCAGCGGTTTTTGAGAAGTAAATTGTATATATTTGGCGCAAAATTATAGGAAAATTCACATATTTTGTAAAAATTGATCATTACTTATTTAAAGATCAGCCTTTAAGGAAAAGATTTCATTAAGGAAAAAATCTCTAATATCAATACTATTGTTGTAGCACGACGCCCCTAAAAAATTCCACTTTTTCAATTTTCAATTCATCTGACATTTCAACGAGATCTACATCATTCTGTTAAGCGGCTTTTACGCTATCCAAAGACAAAGTTTCATTTTCATTTGGTGGCATTTTTTAGACCATTTTGAAGATGTTTCTAAGGCATCATGTAAAGAATTCTCAAAAATCAAAATATCAGTTTGAAACTCTCAGCGTCTTCGGTTCATTCAGATAGATTAAGGAATATCAATTTTGAAGAAAATCGGCTGAACGGTTTGGGCGCTAGCTTTGATCGCAGGCGGACAGATACAAGTTTTGCTGTAAATCAATTTTGCGGTATCAAGGACCCACGAAACATGGCTTCTGCCTACATCACGTGTCGAAGGAATTATTTCCTAAAAGCATTAGGATTTATTCACTTTTTAGTTACCACGGCCCGGCAATTAGAGGCTATAGGTGACATCTCGTAAGAAGTTGGGGCAATATCGAAAAGCTAGCCCAGACCAACGAAATGAGAAATTTAACTATTACGAGAAAGTCTGCGCCACTGTGTAACACTTCTATATTTGAATTATCCTTCACACCGTTAATATGTACAATTTCAGTGATTTGTATACATTTTCCATTTGTGAGTGAAAGTGCTTCAAATGACTTGCAATGATGTTTCTCGGAAACGCAAGTTTTCTGTGAAAAAGCGCTTAAAATTCCGCATTTATTGTATCACTTAAATAATTTTTTTTTAAAACGGCTCCAGAATTTCCATATAGTTCGAGGATTTACTCTTCTATAATATTCTGCAAGTAATATTTTGGTTCTTGCATTACGGAACCGAAAAATTGAAAACAAAATAAAAAGTGTTCTTTAGGCGACGATAGATGGTAGGCGGCAGGAGGAAAGGTAAAGACCGAAAAGCTAGCTCAGATGAAAGAAATTAGAAAACTAACTAGTAGGTCTATGCCATTCTGTAGCACTACCAGTTTGTTACTATTTTCTTAATATTGCATTGGTCTTAGGCATTCCCAGAAAATGTGTTCCTATTATCTTTATCCTTGTTAACGTTACTGGTCTCAAAAATTAACGGAAGTTTAAATGGAAAACTTTTATTACTTCTAAATGTGCGATTATTTATTAAAGGGATATTTGGCCTGAAAATATGATTTTGGCCTGAAGAAATGATTTTGTCTTTTGGTACACTGGTGTACATTCCCATTAGGCCCAGTCGAGATTATTCGACGCAGAATATTTTATTTGAACTTCTATTTTGAATGACTGCAAATTGTTACGATGCACGTCGCTGTACTTTTTTGTGATACTATAACTACATTGGCATTCACACATCGTTATTCGTATCGTAGATTAAATTCGTTTTTGAAGCCACATACGAAAATAAATGTTTTCATTAATGACACGTTGTTATGGTCAATCAACAAAATTTGTAACTACGGTGCCGGTAACATGGCACTCACAACCATGCTTTTTTGTGTTTTTTTAACTTGTTGCTACGGTGCCACTTAGATTACATCCTTGTCAACAAACTCTGTAACTACGGTGTCGGCAGCATAGCACTTATCTTTATGTTGTTTTCAGTTTGTTTATTTTGAACAACACATCTCTCTTGGGTGCCTTGCCATTAACATACTTTTGATTCTGTAACTATGGTGCAAAATACACAGCGTCAATCTTCATTCTACATACGATCTTGATTTTATTCTTATGCAAAACAATATTTCGCAACAGAGTTTTTGTTTTTAATTAAAAGCTTAAAACAAAATGTTTTAACGCAGTGATTTGAGTCGAGACGTTTTATTGCAATAGTTACAAAACAATAATCCACCCTTCACTCACATATGCATGTGCAATATAGAGTGGCACAGCAGAAACAAATTTGCGCAAAATTGAAGTTTTTAAAATAGATTCTTTAGACGTGTTTCAAATTTTCCATGGTTTATTAGAAATAATCAAATTCAGAGAGAACTTTCTATTGAACCCCTTAAAACATGGGTGAATAAATTATAAAACAGTTTCTACTCTTCACTTACTTCTTGCCCAGCGCCACAAATTTTTCAATTAGGACAGTCAGCTTACCCTTTACCCCAAATTAAATATCGTCACTCGAAATATTTATTACGTTCTCCCTAATTCCACTGATTAGCTATTCAATAGTGAAAATTAAAATAACCTCAGAAGCCTCTTCCTGGAACAACCTCTAAGATAGTTCATTATTTTTAATGTTTAATTATATTTATAATATACAAAAAATCAATGTAATTTATGTAAAATATTTTCAAACCCTTGAAAGATATTTTTATGTCGAACAAGGAAAAAATATAATTAAAAAAAAGAAAAGTACATTCCTGTTACATTTTGTTGCTACGGTGCCGGTAGCATATCAATACATGGCGCGACATTCACTTTGCTCATTTGGAACATGAGGTTTCTATGGTGTAACTTGTTCATTTTATGATTTGTGTATTTAGAACCCCTTTAAAATACGCAATAATAACTTGCTCGAAAAAAATGAATTGGCGAGGTTTCCTCAGAGGAAAAGTTAGCATAAAAATCAGTGTGATTCTTACTCTCCTAGTGAACGGAAGTGTTACTGCTGAAGTGTTGTGTTCAGTGTATTGAGTAAGGTGGGCTGTACAATTTTGGTGGAGTCGGGTGAATAGTTTTTTGGCGGAGACAAGTGAGTATTCTCTCAAACTTCATTTTTAGTTCTGGGATTAGCAGGTAATTATATATTGGTTTGTCCATTAGTTGCGACGAAATTCTTTCATGTTTGTTTTTTGAAGTGATTCGAAACTATTAAATTAAACTTATTCTCTCATATTTTCCAAAACTGTACATATATTAACATTCAAGGTAAGCTCATTTCTTTACCAACATTTTATTTACAAACTTTTGTATATTCTTTTAAAATTACTTATGGCAGTTTTTATTTTAGTGAAATTTAATGGGGAAAATCTAATTTAGTTGATCTTGATATAACTATACAAAATATTACAAAGTTCAAAATGTGTATAACTTCTGATTTTGAGCGGCATGTTAGCCATTACAAAGCAATATTTATCCTCAACTATTTTTTCCCAACGAGTAGTAGAGGCACAAACATTAAATGTTTTGATTTAAAACAGTTTTCGATTTTAACATATAATTTACAATTACATTCTTCAGAAATTATCACATTTTACATACTTCACTTTCACATACAGAGATAACATTTAATATTAATATAATATAAAGTTATTAATAACATTAATTTTGCAAATTCTTTCGTTATAAATGACATTTATAAAAATATTTGCAAACATTGAGAATTTTGAAAATAGTTCTAGTTCATATATCTTTAGTTTCGAGCTACAAGACTGTCGCTCTTGGAGAATATAATTCTCTGATTGAACACGGAAACAAGAATTTTTAGCATCCAAATGGTTCTTACATTGCCATATTGTACCAGTATGTACCAGTGCCAGTATTGTACCAGTGTAATATTATTCGTAGAAATATGAATTGTGATTTTTTTTTATTTTTTGACGTTAAAAACTGCCGAGTTTCAACAGGTAAAATGTGCCTTTCGAAGTATTCTTACACAACTATTGGTGGGACGTTTGTGACCCAATTTTGCACAAGTCACGAAAGAGAAGTTTACTTGCTAGCTGATTACTATAATATTTTGATATTATACAAAGACTTCACGATAGTGGTTCAGGGTTAAGGGAGAACATGAAATTGTTAAAGGGCATTTTCACATTTGGTGATTCAAAACTGTGCTTTGTAACCCAGGTTTGAAAATTACTAATTATTATAAGTGTTAAGAAACTGTTAGCAACATAACTGTCTATATTAGTACTTAACTTGCTGTAGTCAACTTTAAAATAATTGTACTTGGGGTGTCATATGGCAAATTGGAATTTGGGTTTACAGAATTCGTATTTTTATTAGCCCCATCCCTTCTCCAAAAAGTAATACTTCGGGATCGAAATGAATTAAACAATACATAAGATCTACATTGGCCTTTATGCTTAATTTTGTCTTCGAAACAAGTAAAAATAAGTTTTCAAATAAGAAAAAAGGGAATATTTTACAACATATTTAAGTGGTATTTTGCTACATTGTACCAAACTGGGCTCGAATGTGTTAATGAAGGTCGTAACATTGGCCTAGAAAAATAGTTAACCACTTAAGTACTTAACATTGATCCTAAGAAAATATATATTTTCGCAACTATTGCCTGATTATTTGAGGTTCCATTGATACAATTTTTTCAGATTAGTTTTAAATCGATAAGGCGCGGCGATAAAACTGTACGGCAAAATTTTCCATTGTCAGTGTGAATGGGCGAATGAACAGCTTTCTCAAAATTTTACCCAGCCGTTAAGTTTCTTATATCGTAGTCTGCTAAAACAGAACTTTGGGGATAATATATTGCTTTGTTGGACGTTAAGCTCTTTGGAGTAACTCAGCAAGGCTAGTCAAAAAGGTACAGAATCTGGAAATATTGTCAAATTAATTTCTTACGCAATATGTAAATAAACAATTAACATGTTAATCTTAACCCAAGCACTGCAACGTGCATGTATTTCTATGCGCAGAACAGGGTCTGGATACTTGAAGTAACATTTCTGTGTGAAGCTATTTCATTTCAATTATTTCAAAACTATGATTTTCACTGCGTTATTTTCGCAGGTGTACAATTATTTTATCATATTTAAATCTTATATTGAATGATATTTGATGAGTTCCATTTTATTGCTGTTTAAATAGCCAGAAATGGATAACAAACAAAGGCCTAAAGGAAACCCTACTTTCAAGAATTATGAAGCAGCTGCAAAGGATCGAAAAATCGCTGCATTACGAAAGAAACCGGAAAAAGAAATAGAAGACGCTGTCATAAAGTTGCAGAAATCACATTCAGATAAACAATCCGCCAGGACCTGTGCACAGTTAGAAAGCAATAAATTATTGGAGACATCCCACATTAATGAAACAATTATTATGGAACTGGAATTGGATGAGGAGTATGTACTGAAACAAGACCGCTTACAAATTAACAATACTCATTGTATATTTACATTAATTACTTTTCTTTTTATTGTAGAAATGAAGTTTACCTAGGAAATGAAATGTGTAAAACTGTGGAGGACGAATGGCATAATTTAAGACTACAAATCTCGGCTCTTAACGTGCTTCATGACGAGAAGAGAGAAAACTTTCAGGTAAGAGTACGCCAGATTACTGCAAAATAGGACTTTGTCGGATGAAGATTGTTATCGTTGCAGTTATTATTAAAAAATACCCAAGGTGCTTTTCAAAGTAATTTGATTTATTTTCTCAAAGCGAAAAACTGTTACATATGGCGGAGAAGTACAATCTGTGTGTTTTCTTGAACACTATATCATCTTCCCCACCTATTAACATTAATTGTGGAATGACTAATAAAAGTTCATTGGAGGAAAGCATCCAGAGTATTTGCATTGGACTAGGTGGGGCATTATAGTTTTTAGAACTTTTTATGCGAGATATACTTGGGAGCCCATCCTGAAGCTTACAGCCCCGGTAGAGAAGGGGGGCCCCCGTTTTCGACTCGGTTGTGCGCGTTGCATAGGACAGTCCCCCCCCCCCACGTAAGTTTCTTTTCAAATTTCGTAATGGGAAATTCTTGTATTTGCCAACACCTTCGCTCATTTATTGAAAGCGTTTAGGAAGAAATCCCTTTAAGGAATATACATCGTACGTGATGATACTACGTACATACAGTAAGAAGGGATAGTCCGGAGCAGTTAATGAAGTCTGTTAAGACATTGTTTTTAGTTTTATTACATATCTCATACTTAACATTCAGAATGCTGACTTTTGTTATTTACATACCTTTAGCAGGCAATAGAAATACTGAAGTTAATTTGTTTTTAGGCACTCAATATAAGGGAACTGGAAAACTTAATTTGTATGACAAAATCAAGGATCATTGATGAATTTAAGAGACAAAGGAAACTGGTGAAGGAACTTGAAAAGCAAAATAATCAGTTTAAACGTGAAAACATAAATAAAGTAAGTGTTATATTGTTGAGTTTGATTTGTTTTGCAAATGCTGAAAACTAATTTATAAACTTACGGAAGCCAAATGTTATTTACAGAACAAGGAGGAAGAATGGGAGCAAAGTCTTTCAGATATGTTTCAAGAGCTCGATGAATCTTATGAATTGTTCACAAACAAGACCTATACCTCAATACAAATTTTTTATACAGTGCAGCTGTATAGGTATATGGAATGTCACAATATCCATGTTAGAAAAATGTTATTAGAACTAAAAAGAAATAGAGAAATATTGAAAGACTATTTCAATGACATCCTTGAGAGGGATATTGCTGTTATCTGCGACATGCAGGTGAGGTTATGAACTTTTCTAGAATTCTTTTTGTGAAATAATCATGTTATCACTAGGCTACTAAAAGAAACTGAAAAGGGTTCAATGTAGGATGATTGAAGCACGTTTTACTTGTGCATAATAAGTTACATTAATTACGTAAGATATTTTTGTCACGAATTTTACTTTTAAATACAGAAGATATTGTTAAAATTTCGATAAAATTAATATATTGGTAAAATTTTCTATGTTGAAATGACCGCAAAAAATGTTACGAACTTTTAGGACATGTAATGAGACTTTTTTCTTTCACTTAAAATGGTCGTCGTCTGGTATCTTATTTTAAAATTTCGGATTTCGTTCCTTTTATTGGTTGTCAATTCATCCTGCGTTGTTTGGGCATGCGAACTCGCAGGGAACAATGTACTCTTTGTCAATGCCAATATTAATTTTTTTTCTTCATAGATTGTCAGCCACTCTCGTCCCATTATATAATTTCCCACTATATTTTTATGGTCAAAAAGTTAACTTTTTCAACCTCTCTACACGCCCTAGAAGTTGATAACATTTATTCATGAATACATGAAACCAAATCTTTCTATAAACGTTGAAAGCAGTACGACGAAATCTGCGCCATATTCTAGCATTAATGAATAAATTTGCTGATTCTAATTAAATTTCACGTTCCAATATTTTGTTGCTGAAACGTCAATTAATTTTTGTTTAGGCAAGGGTAAATTATATAATAGGTGGACCTAAAAAGGTTAGAAATATCAAAGATCTAAGAAAAATGAAGAAAAAGGAACAAGAACTGAAAAATAAAGTCCAGGAAGTGAGAATTAATATGGATCTCTTACTGAGACGGCTCGGCAGCTTCCACAGAGCAGTTCAACAAATCCATGTGAGTAAGAATATCTGCTTTCACATGAGACTATTTTATAATTCCAGATGTAATACGAGATAGTGACATAAAAAAAATGATGTAATATATTATTATTATTATTAACCCATACAACCGGTCCCCGTGGCGCAGATGGTTGTGGCATAGTCATATATGTGATTGTCCCTTAATCTATCGTCCCATCCCCCCATAATTCATAATTCAATAACCTTTCCTTAACATGGGATACAGCCGAAAAGGCTGATTCTCATAATACACGTTAATCTCTTCAGGATAAATGAGTGGGCATCAGGAGATAACTTGTAGCCTGTAAATGTCGAAACTACTCTAATAATAATTCATACATATTCGTTGGTGTATACACGCATGTATAACAAGCAGATACTTTCATTTTAACTGAGACTTGAACATGGAAGCGTCTATCTGCGAGACCCTTACCAAATTTCTGGGGTAAAATTACTCTTATAGGTGCACAAATACCCTGCAATCTAGTATGCTAGTCCAATTCGCGACG